GCATGCGTGCGGCCGCTGGCCAATCCCAGGCCACTGAGCAGGAGAACGGCCTGTCCCCTGTGGTGTCCATCGGCATCGGTGCCATCGTTGGTCTGCTGGTGGCCGCGGCCCCAGCATTGGCCGTGAGCGCCCAGGGCTACGAGCAAATGGGGGGCGACGATGTGAAGCGCTACGAGAAGCCCGAAGGCACTTCCAACCTCCTCAAGGAGCTGACGGGTGACAAGAAGAAGTTCTACGCGGGCAAGGAGGACCTGGACTACAGGAGCAAGGGCTACAAGATGGAGGAGTACAAGACCGAGCGTGAGCTGCAGGCCAAGCTCAAGGGTGGCAAGTGAGGAGGAGATTTTTGTCACGAAACAGTGCAGAGGCCGCTACAAACCTACACGTGGGTAGTTCTCTAAAATAGGGTCCCTTTCATCCCCGCAATATAGTACGACACCCTTTTCAAAAGGACCCCCAAAGGGACCCTTATTTCGAGACCTACCCACACATCGAATCTCGTGGCCCGGCAATAAAAAGCCGTTTTTGTGTCAACCCGGTTTAGGATGTAGGGCTTTTGCCCCCTGCTGTTTCAGTCAAAGGTCGTGGTCTTGAGTCTTGGGTTGGTCATGGTACGTAGAGGTCTGGGTAATTATAGGAAGATATATGCCCATAATCCCAACACCTCCACACCAAAAGGTCCCTAAAGCCTAAAACCCTAAACCCTAAACCCTAAACCCCTAAAACCTAAACCCTAAAAAGACCTTATTCTTATGGTTAAGGGCCCAGACGACTGAAAGCATTCAGCTTGCGCCTCCCGGCATAGGACAGTGGGGCAGTAGGGCGTAGGGGTTTAGGGCCTAGAGTCCTACGTTTAATATAGGGGTCGGAGACTATTTATCCCTGAAAGCTCCTTGTTATACTTATACTGTTGATGGTAAAAATCCTGCATTACCTTAAGGAGCCTAAACTGTAGGAAGTATGGTACATTGCTTGTTATGGGTAATACAAGATTTATACCATCAACCGTACTATAATGTACCCTCCAAAACCCCATTCTAAGTGTGAAGGCTCCGCATGAAGGACTTGCAGGAATACTAGTGCGTTTATCTCCCGGGTGTCCCAACCCACTACCCAGACCCGTAGAGAATCTAAAACTTAGGGTTTAGGGTTCAGGGCTTTGGCCCCACTCGCTAGCTTAGACCCCCCCACAAGATAGGATAAGCCCTGCACCTCCAAAGACTGTCAAGGAGGTCCAGTCAAACTCGACATGCCCTGAACCCTACACCCAAATACCCTATCACCCGGTATATGTCAACCCTAAACCCCGGAACCCCATACCCTAATGTCCTACTGCCCTTGTCCTGTGCTTCGTGTGGCGCCCCAGGGAAACAGTGCAGTTTCCGTCTTCTCACAACCGTTGAAGCTAGACAGAGTAGCTTTGGGTTGCCGTGGGGTCACGCGGTGAGTTATGCAAAAACTGCATGCAGTCATGTCGTTAGTTTGTTGCTGATTCTGATTGATTCCACACAATTCGAAGTTTATGTCAATCTTCTGTGTTCTTATTTCGTTCTCGTTTGTGTGTGTTCCCTGCTGTCTTTCATGCTTTCGTTTACGCTTCATTCGCTTCATGGGTAGTTCTCTAAATTAGGGTCCCCTTTTAGGTCCCCAATATAGTACGGCACCCTTATAAAAAGGACCCTAAAAGGGACCCTAATTTAGAGAACTACCCTCATGGTTGTTATTTAGGTCCTGCTTTCCTTTTAGCAGTCCGAGGAGGATCTGAAGGGGTTGGGTTTTTAAGTCTAAATGGGAGTTTCCCAAGACAGGGGCTACCTTATTTTGGGGTCCTTACGATAGGGATCCCACTATTTAGGGTACTATATTAGGGTTCCCTATTTTCGGAAACCCTCAAATGATTCCTCTCTCCCCTTCTACGACAATACACCCCTAAACATACCCGGAGTATCAAGGCCCCATTGTTAGGGAGTTTGCAACTTCGGGCCAGTGAGGGCTTAGTGTGCTAGGAGAAGGCCTTTAGAAGCTCCGGATTTAGTGACATTGAACCCAGAGACTCCATTATCCCTTAATTAAGGAATATACCTTAAATCTTATTAGGGTTCCTATTATAATTTAAGGGTATATTCCTTAATTAAGGGATAATGGAGTCTCTGGGAATGTTGTGCACACAGGCCTTGTGTTTCTTATGCGGCGCACATGTTTGCATCTCCACGAAGATTTTTGGCACAGGTCACAATCGCGTGCTGGACTGGTTCCCTTGCATTGTTCCTGCTCCGCCATGGCTCTCCGCCTTCTGGCCGCCGTCTTGCTGGGCGCTGCCGCGTGGCAGTGCGCCTTCGTGACCTCCGGTGCCGGCCCGACCCGCTCTCCTCAGGTGAGCATGCGTGCGGCCGCTGGCCAATCCCAGGCCACTGAGCAGGAGAACGGCCTGTCCCCTGTGGTGTCCATCGGCATCGGTGCCATCGTTGGTCTGTTGGTGGCCGCGGCCCCAGCATTGGCCGTGAGCGCCCAGGGTTACGAGCAAATGGGGGGCGACGATGTGAAGCGCTACGAGAAGCCCGAGGGCACTTCCAACCTCCTCAAGGAGCTGACGGGTGACAAGAAGAAGTTCTACGCGGGCAAGGTGGACCTGGACTACAGGAGCAAGGGCTACAAGATGGAGGAGTACAAGACCGAGCGTGAGCTGCAGGTCAAGCTCAAGGGCAAGTGAGCGAACGGGTGCAGTGGGACGCAGCTCTCCGCAGTGGCATGGGTTTTGTGGCAAAAGGCAGGTGGCATGGAGATAACTACCAGTACCTACATCATAGCCCGAGTTCGACCATCACGGCTTACGGTTCCATGATGTTTGCTCGTCGAAAGGTGTCCCAAGCAAGTGTCAAACCCGGAAAAGGGACAGCTGCCTCGCAACTAAACTTTGTTTTGATGAGCCCATCGGCCCTGCAAAGGAACCCGAAGCATGTTGATCAGCTAGTCAGGGTCGTTTTGGATCTGTCACTAGTCATAGACAGATCGGGATTTCGAGCAACCAAATCCCACGATGCTCCCTCTATTGCTACGCTGCTAATATACCCGGAAACCCTATTCCAATCAAAAGACCCCTGCATTCCAACCAAAACGGCTTTGAACTACCTTAGGCGCAAGCAGGATATTCCTTGGGATATAAGCACCCGAATGGCGCGTTTACTTGTAGCCCGGCCCCACTCACAACCTATTTACTAGGCACCCTGGTCACCCTGATCTCGTAAGTAACGTTCGAACTACATGTCCAGTCAACATCTTGCTTCTCAGCCACTAGAACCTCCGTTCTAAACCCTGCACCATACACTTCCTAAGCTTTCCTAAACCCTAAACTCTAAACCCTCAACCCGTAAACCCTAAACCCTAAAACCCTATAAACCCTATAAGCCCTATAAACCCTATAAACCCTAAACCCTATAACTCCTAAACTCAGAACCCACCCTCGAACAAAGAAACTCTTCCGGCCGGCTGGTTGCCATGGAGACGGGTTTAAAGAAACTGATAGCGGTTTAGAGTTTAGGAATAGCGGTTTAGGGCTTAGGGTTAGCGGTTTAGGGCTTTGGGTTTGGAGGTTCAGGGTTTAGGGTTTAGGGTGTACAGAAACTGATAGCGGTTTAGGGTTTAGAGGTTTGGGGTATAGGGTTTAGGGTTTCGAGAAACTGATAGCGGTTTAGGGCTTTGGGTTTAGAGGTTCAGGGTTTAGGGTTTAAGGTGTAAAGAAACTGATAGCGGTTTAGGGTTTAGAGGTTTGGGGTATAGGGTTTAGGGTTTAAGGTGTAAAGAAACTGATAGCGGTTCAGGGTTTAGAGGTTTGGGGTACAGGGTTTAGGGTGTAAAGAAACTGATAGCGGTTTAGGGTTTAGAGGTTTGGGGCTGAGGGTTTGGAGGTAAAGGGTTTAGGGTTTAGGTTTAGGGCTTTGGGGTTTAGGGTTTAAAGAAACTGATAGCGTCAGGAAGATGTGGGGGGCACAGGGCCTTACTCAAAGGTTTCGTTTAGGGTTTAGAGATTACTTGGAGGTTCATGGGACTTAGTGTGTAGGGTTATAAATAAGGTAACTATACTTATAATTACTTATAACCCCACTTAAGGTACTTATAACTGTACTTACTAAGTCCCATGAACCTCTAAGTAGGGTTTAGGGATTAGGGCTTAGGGGGTCAAAGGATGGGACGACGAAGGTGGGTGAACTCCTACTTTTATCGGATCCTTAAGGGAGGGTGGTTCAAGCAGGGAGGGTCCTAGGGATCCTTAGGGAGCTTTAGGGAACCTAAGGGAGCCCTTGGGAGAATTGGGGAATATTGGGTTATATACCCCTCTTCGAACCCCCTCTAAACTCCCTAAACCCTAAACCCTATAGACCTCCCTTAAGGATCCCATAATACTTGCACGCCCGTCTATGAGGGGTCCCTGTTCCTACCGATCTTGATTCCGGACTTTGGAGGTCCCCTGATCACTTGGAGGGTCGGGGGACTTAGTAAGTGGGTAATAAGTAGACAAATAAGTACCCTAAGGGCTCCTATTTTGGGGTTATGATACTTATAAGTCTATACAATAGCTACGTACTACGTCCCCCGACCCTCCAAGCAGTCAGATGTACATAGTAAAGTATGTTATAGTACATTATAGCAACGACACTATGTGTAAATTTTAGTCCCGTCATCCTTTGTACATAAGAAAAGTATGTTATAGTACATAATAGTAGTAACTACAAGTAAACAAAAGTATGTTATAGTACATATTAATAGTAACTACAAGTAAACGATAGTACCATCATCATAGGGTGTCAGTCTTGGCTTGAAGAGCTTTGGGGTTCAGGGTTAACAGCTTCCCAGACCCCCGGGAGGATC